AACTAAAAGAATTCCGTCCAGCGTCTCTATTTCGTCTTTCGCTAACAAGCAAAAAATGTCCCCCGCGGGGTTCGCCTCGTGCAGTTATTGCCTCGTCATCGCCCCGTGCCTCGTCAAGCTTTCAAAAATTCTTCCCCGCGAGGATCGCCCCGCGAAGAATCGCGGGGCCTCGCGAGGATCCTCGTCCATCGCCCATCTCTGGTGGTGACTATTGTGAATATACCGATTGTCAGCGGTACGAAACATGAAGCAAGTACTTTGAGCAGTTGGGCATGAGATAATCCGCAGCGTTTCATTTACACTGTGAGTGACAAATCCTTCGATCCTGTCTAAATTTCTAATGTTTTCAATTCGTCCATCATACTAAAGTACAGGATTTTCAGTATTTTTAATAATATAATTTGTAAATAGAGGAAAAAAGCGCAAAAAGTTTGATATTTCTTCGAAAAATCTGTTGCGTGACAAAAAGTCATTTAGAAAGCTCATAATAACTCTATTTTTTGTCACGCATCGTTCAAGCTTGACTTGAATCATTTGCGTAAATTCTCATTCTCCCACTTTTCAGTAGTCTTAATCTCATCTGAAGCGACATTTAGCAAAAAGTTTCCTAGTAGTATGCCACTAATACAGTATTTATTCATTTGCTTTTCGTGTGTGTGTGTGTGTGTATTGTACGTTTTTGTACGCTGGCAACTTTTTATTTTAATGAATAGACAAAATGTGATATATCCTGGGCTTTTCCTCTTTCTTTTTGTACTGTTCTTGTATTTATTTTAATGTAATCCTTTTTTTCTGCCCTACTAAATAAGATAAAGTTATAACAATATGTCACTGCTATTGTTCTTACCAGTTAAAACTAATTTAAGGCAGTGTTATAAGTGAGAAACTTCAATGACTCTTACGTGTGCGAATAAATTCAGTTCCTTCCAGGATAAGCTTTTATATGTCACATCCGACTCTTGCACTCTCCTTCTTAGTAAATAAGTAATAAAAATGGCACGTTCGAATGCAGTAACGGCTGGTCTGATTTGTTACAAATCTAAGGATTCAAGAACAGCGACTTGAATACATCGAAAACACAGCATCCACTTCTTTATTCCTATAGAGCGTCCATAAATAAAATGATTTAATTTTTGTAAAGCTTCAATTAATTAGAAATAGAGATGTGCACGGGTGCCATTTTCGTACCCGTACCCAACCCGACACGAGAACTTTGTACCCGTACCCGACTTATGCCTAAAAATTTTCTCCTTTTTGTTTTTCAGATAAAAGCTTTTGTTTTTCGACGGAAGATGTCAAATTATCATTACGTTCTCAAGTAAATTCTTTTTTAAACCTTCGTGTATTTTAGCTAAACTCCTGTATTTTTTCACTAAAATTTTGTGGGTTTTCCACTAGAACCTTCCGGTTTTCGGGTAAATTATAAAAGACAGAGCCCGTACCCAACCTTCGAATTGGGTTGGGTTGCACATCTCTAATCAGAAAGATTTAATTAAAATTAATTCTCTCCACAATATACACATGACCCTCGAAAAAAGCACAAATACTATCACTAGAACCACTTATTCCAAACATCAGCACATACGTTGACCAGATTTTCAATCATAAGGATAAAGAGAGAAAACTTTTCGATGACCTTATTCCTAACAGAGAACGTGCAGTAATTTGGTCTCACACATTCACGATAATACATACGATACGATAGGGATTTGTTTCACATAGTGTCGAGTCAAAAGGCTACCGTTGAGTAACTGTAGATCTTCAAAGTAACGATCGTTTAAGCGCTCATTGGGCACAAACGGATTGAAGTCATCGAACTGATACAATACTACTGACATATATTAACAATAATTTGACGAAAATAATAAGAATTGTTAAGTACAATAAATCGTTTTGCCTTTCTGAATACATGCCAGTCGTTTAAGTCACCCTATCAAACGTTTTATTTATATGTTCAATTGGTCGAATAATAAGCTGTATATCATCTGCTAGCCCATTATTGTAGGGACCATCGCTCATTTTCATAAATTCAAATGCTATGCCGAAAACTTTTGAGTATTTCGGTATAATACCAGTTTCTCGACGCAGCAATAATCCACTTCTATTATTCCGATGAATGTTCGTCACTATCTCTACATAAAAAAGAGTAGACATAAATGGAGTACGAAACAAACTTCACATACCTAAACTGGTAACACCCAATTGTTTGTTATCCGATGATCTAAATCCTACACTAACCAAAGAATAGTCACCGTCAGATTCTATGCCGCCTACGAACGCTGATAATTCGAAGTGTGCTGCAGAAGAATCTATTAGACGAGAATAATATTTTAAATCCATATACTGGTAAAGAGCTCCACTTGGATCATTGACTTTTCCACCCCAAAATCCACAGTTGCCACTCAATGTTTCATTGAGCGAGGGAAAGGCGTTATAATCAGTTACAGTGGCTACAATTGGTTTAGTGTATTCCAAGTAAGGATAATCATTTGACGTAGTACACACTGGAAAATTAATCATCTCATTCATCGAGATAATAATTTATTCGCCATACTTTTAGCGTCTTGTCAAGATGACCTGTTTATCACGATAATACTCGCTAAAAATCTATTCGAGTTAATCGCGGTACTTTTGTTTTCCTAGATAAAGATCACACATATAACGATCATACTTTTATTAAATTAAATTTTTATCTCGATGAATGAGATGATTAATTTTAATACTTACAATTAGCATTAATTACACTCTTTATGAATTAAAAGTCAGTCTGACAAAATAGATATAATAATACGCCACGATCAACCTAAGCCATACGATGAAACATAGTGCTATATGCTGGGAAGCACTTCTTGAAACACTTTGCACCATTGACCATGAGATCTATCCTTCAAAGATACAGCATTGGATAGTCCTCAACGAGATCTATGCGATGAACTGTTGATTTCATTGGCACAGCTCTGAGAGTGAATATTTTCGAAAAAATACTGTAAGAAACCGCCCTAGAAACCAGTTTTCGAAATATTCCGTCCGGTTGACATTGGGATGTATCCTTCAAGGATACACCATTGGATAGAGCTCGACGAGGTCTATTTCATGAACTGTTGATCTCATTTGGCACAGGTTCGAGAGTGAATATTTTCGAGAAAAACTGTGAGAAACCACCTGAAAAACGAGCTTTTGAAATATTTCGTATGGTTGAGATTGAGATGTATCCTTGTACGATACACTATTGGATAGAGCTCCACGAGTTCTACCTGGCACAGATAAAATTTATGATGGCACAGTTCTCAGTGCGAATGTTTTGTTAAAATGTGAAGTTTCGTGTATTTTGTCCGTGGGAAAAACTGGTACTTTCGTATTTAAAACTTGATGGGATAATAAGCATGAAGGCTGAACAGGTCAGCGGGTGGAAAGTTCTAAATTGAGTCTGGCACAGCAATGCTCGAAGTTGGCAGAGTTGTCGGAGTGAATGTTTTCTTAAAATAGTCGAATCCGCTGCTAACTTCACCTACGTTATTGCGATGCACTCAGCCTGAATCCTGGTCTTCCACCACATGTTCAACAAAATTATATTAACCAAGAAATTCAAGAACGGCAGCAGATTCCTACAATGCCAGCCGTTGTCGCGCCGCTGACAAGAACCTCATGCGGTTGAGACGGAGAGAGACATGCAGTCGAAATAATAATCCAGATCCATTCGTTAAAAGTAAAGTGAATGATATATTGAACGTTGTAGTTGAAACAGCGAAAAAAAGTCAAATCAAATAATAACTATCAAAAAAGGAGATGAACCGTGGTTTTCGAGTGAATGCACAGGTCTTTGAACAAAATTTAACAGATTCTATGCTTTTCACGTGAAAAATTCAACAGACCAAAATCACTTGAGATTCGAAAATGCAGCCGAAGTTTTTGAGCATGCGTATCCGTCAGCTATGAATAAGTTTTATAAACATGTTGTTCAAAATAAATCATGGTATAAATTAATCAATCATGCTCTTGGACGTAGAAAAATGTCGGAGATAGCAGTTCTTCAAGATTCTAACAGCACATGTGATGACAATAAAAAGACGGATAGTTTAAATGCCTATTTTGCTTCTACTTGTAGTATGGCAAACAAAAGATGCTCAAGATTTCGCGAGCAACTCTACCTTCAATTAACATCATATTTGAGAGGTTTAAATATTCGAACGTTACAATGAATGTTTTTCTGCAATTTTTTTTCATTGTGTAGCCCGAACATTGCGCTTTACAATGGCATATGGGCCCCGTGTCTATCTGCTAGAGAAAAGTTTAAAAGATGTTTCGCGAGGGAATGGAGCATTTTGCAGGAAGGTCCTGAAATAACTGAAAGAAAATTTTTCTGTAAACAAACACATTCGATTCTCAATGTTAAAATACCTGGAGCCGCATAGTGTCTAAAAAGTGTTTAATTTACTCTCTAAAAAAATCGTATTTTAAAGTATTTCTACGAAATACGTCTCAACCGCTTTTTGTAGGTTTTTTTTATATTTGGTCTTTCGTGCCCAGTTCCATGAATCCATCCCGGGAAGGCCTGACGATCCAAACGCAAAATTGAATATATTTCAGAGAAAAAGCCGCTCAAAACTTGCAGATTTTTACAGCTCTATAATAACTTTTGCAGGAGTTCTATTTGAGCTTTTTGTCTCAATTTCTGCTGGGAGGAAAAAGTGACTTATTAACTCTTCGAAAGAGAAGGAAAATTGGCCTGTTTGTCTGATTTTTAACTGCAAAACTCAAAGGTAGAAACTATATTAAATAAGAAGTGAGCGTCTCGTCATTTTCGTTGGAGTTTGTACTTTTAGCTAGTACGGTACTAGCTAAAAGTACAAACTCCAACATCAATAAAAGTTTTATTGCTTTTTTTCAGGACGACAATTTTTTCGACTACATGATACTAGACAAATGAGCACTTAATGAAAAGAATTATTTTTTCATTCTTGAACAAATTTTACTCTTTCTTAATAATAAAATGAACACTAGACTGCTGCGTCATTCTATCAAAAACGTTTTTTTAAAGAAATCAAGTAGCTTTAAAAATATCTACTGTATGCCATTTTGCAGGGAAATGTTTGCTCTACAAAACTGTTGATTTCAGAAAATTATACAGTTCGTTGTTGCGAAAATATAAACCATTTTTTAAAAACACGAAAAAAACTGTTGTATGCCTGGTCATACTTAGCGCCCAAGCAGACAAACATTTGGAAAAACGCGTTTAAACGCTCAAAAGGGAACCGCGATTGTGAGCCAGTAACGCTCATTAAAAAAACGCAAGAAACGCGTTTTTTGCGCAAAATTTTCACTTTCAG